CCTGTGCGAGTTTACCTACACCAGGCGCCGCTCTGGACTAAGTGTCCAGAAAGACGTTGGGTGGCGCGACATACCCTTGCTGATGAAGGTGAGGATCAACCCGATTCCGGCCACGTTCTCCTCCTGCTTCAGATACGACACCTGCCAAAGAGAGGTGGACGTCGGAGTGGTGAGCCGCGATCACAGTTGATCGTAGCAATCCTTAAAAGACTTGTCGTCGTTTCGTGCGGGGCAGGTACCATGCGAGTATGCAGCAACCCGAGCACGTGGTCCAGGAAGACTTTGGTGGCCTCCGGATTGAAGTTCTGCTCGGCTGTCGACTCGGTCGACGACGCGCTGTGTTTTGAGCAGAATCTGCCATCGTTCGTAAACGAGGAGAAAAAGAGAGCGTAAGAAGGTGCACACGGCACGGCACACGACACACACCGGGGAGGGCGAGTGGTACCCTTTGGGCTTCCAGGCCGCAGGATCGCCGCAGTCGCAGCAGCCGCTGCGAGTTGGGAACAATATAGTGATAGTGTGTGAGTGACATGAGCAAGTTGGTTGGTTGATTGATTGATTGGTCAAGCGGGAAGAACGCGTACCCGTAGCCCGACGAGTACAGGCGGTAGTCGTGTCCTTCGTGCTGCAGACAGACACACGCAACGGCGTGCGTTAGGAAAAGGAGCACCAATCAATCAAGCGCGAGACTGAGGAACGAACGTTTCCGTGCTTGAAGCAGTCCACGCAGATGCAGCTGCTCGAGTTCATCTGACTGGAGGCCACACAACACACCGCACACACCGCACACACCGCACACACGATACCGCACACACCGCACACACCGCACACACCGCACACACCGCACACACCGCACACACCGCACACACCGCACACACCGCACACACGATACCGCACACACCGCACACACCGCACACACCGCACACACGTTGGGTTGAGTGCGAAAGACGCGCTGCCGCGGTGCACCACGCCGAGGTACCAGTCCGAGCAGCGGTAGGCCATGGCGCCGGGTCCCCAGGTGCGGCCGCACACGCTCGACTTTGCCTCGCCCGGCGGCTGCCCGTTGAACATGAGCCCTACTCCAGCCTGCCGCAAGATGCGAGTAGCGGCCCAAGAAGAACAGATTATTTACACACGACATCGCCGGCACCTAAAATCTAGCACAAGGGCAGCCCATGATGTGCTGCATGCACAAAGATCGCATGCAGTAAGTAGAGGGAGGTGGGGCGGGGCACCTGCAAGATTTGTTGTATGACTGACTCATTCGATGAAGCGATGGATAGCAGACGGGTGAGCAGGTACATGGTGACCTCGCCCCCCTCTGTAAGGGCCGACTCCTCAGCCTTGTCCATCTAAGATCTGCCGGCTGCGCTTGCGCTCCGTTTACCGTTTCGCTCTCTTCTGTCCTCTGGCCCACCGAAACT